CTCTACTAAAAATACAAAAATTTGCTGGCATGGTGGCACATGCCTGTAATACTAGCTACTTGGGAGGCTGAGGCAGGAGAATCACTTGAACCTAGAATGCAGAGGTTGCACTTAGCTGAGATATATATACCACTGCACTTTAGCTTGGGTGACAGAGTGAGACTCCATCTCAAAAAACAAACAAGCCAAAAAAAAAACCAGGCCATGAGATTCAGATGTTTCAGGTAACGGAGGCAAGGAAAATTAAAAAAAGAAAAAAAAACAAAAAACAGGGCAGGCACAGTGGCTCACGCCTGTAATGCTCATGCCTATAATCCTAGCACTTTGGGGGGCCAAGAAAGGTGGATCACCTGAGATCAAGAGTTTGAGACCAGCCTGGCCAACATGGTAAAACCCCATCTTTACTAAAAATTAGCTGGGCGTAGTGACAGGCACCTGTAATCCCAGCTACTCAGGAGGTTGAGGCAGGAGAATTGCTTGAATCCAAGAGGTGGAGGTTGTAGTGAGCTAAGATCACACCATTGCACTCTAGTCTGGGCGACAGAGCGAGACTTCGTCTCAAAAAGAAAAAAACCCTGAAATTAGCCAGACATGGTGGTACATGCCTGTAATCCCAGCTGCTTGGGAGGCTGAGGCAAGGAAATCACTTGAACCCAGGAGGCAGAGGTTGCAGTGAGCTGAGATCATGCCATTCCACTCCAGCCTGGGTGACGAAGTGAGACTCTGTCTTAATAATAATAGCTTGGAATGGAGGTAGCGGGTAGGATATAACCTGCGAAAGGGTAGAGAGAAAGATCATATCAGACCCTCAGAGGATGCCCCTTTCCAACCTGGCAGCAGGAACCCATGCTTGCCCAGCCCGTATTCTCTTACTACCCACCTTTACCCATGGTGGGTAAGTCCCTTAGTCCATGACTTCCTGTAGATAGATGAGCAGGGAGCTTAGGGAAGGGGCCAGAGAGCTTCTGACCCACCCTGCCTAGTCCATTCTGTGTTTTCTGGATTGACTGAACTCAGAATTCATGACATGTCAGGGCTACACTGTTCAGCAATGTCACACAGCTTATCTACCGTAGTGATCATGGTAGTAGAGGGCCAAGTCTTCAAGAGGGAGGGAGCAGGTAGGGTCAGGGTGCCAGGGTTGCTTGGATGGGGGTGGAGGATCCACAAGGCACTTTTACTGAAGGCTGGGAGCATGTGACTGTGCACACCAACAAGCCACCCTGCCTTGGCATCTCAGTGGCCTTGCCTCTCCCAGGTGGGGCAACAGCTCTGTCTCATTTGGCCCAGCCACTGGCGGAGACCAGGGTTATTGCTTATATTTGGTGATTTCCCTGCAGGTGAAGTAACACCACAAACCCCACATACACACACACTCCACATACACACATACCCCGACATACCTCCTTTTCCCCGAAATTCTCTTCAGGGTCTGCACAACACACATGACATGTGCCTGGCCCTTTTTTTTTTTTTTTTGAGACTGAGTCTTGCTGGAGTGCAGTGGCTCAATCTCGGCTCACTGCAACCTCCGCCTGGGTTTAAGCGATTCTTCTGCCTCAGCCTCCCGAGTAGCTGGGACCACAGGCATGCGCCACCACGCCCAGCTAATTTTTGTATTTTTAGTAGAGATGGGTTTCACCATGTTGGCCAGGATGATCTCGATCTTTTGACCTCATGATCCGCCTGCCTCGGCTTCCCGAAGTGCTGGGATTATCGGCGTGAGCTACCGTGCCCAGCCATGCCTGGCTCTTAAGGGCTGCATACACCACATTCCTCAATATACACCCCATGTGTATGGACCCATGCTCACATGTCTCTGAACCGTGTTGTGTATTACTCAACAACATACCAATGGTAGTGGTTATTATTAGAAATTGCCCAAACTACAAACTTAGAGCAACTCATTCCCCATCTCCCACACCCAGTACTCCCACCCTTCCCACAACAGAGATAAATAGATACCCTGAATATCCACTCTTGACAGAGCCTTTCCATCTCTTAGATGAGTTCTGGAACTCTCTCATTGCAGACTGGAGGCTGACCCTCCCTGTCCTTGGAGAGGATCTCTTTACTGCCATTCATATAGAAGAGTGATACCAACTACCAACTTCTGCCTGGAATAAATATGTTCTATATCTTATTTTATTTTGTTTCGTTTAATTTATTTTTTGAGACAGAGTTTCATTCTGTTGCCCAGGCTAGGGTACAGTGGCGCAATCTTGACTCACTGCAACCTCTGCCTCCCAGGCTCAAGCGATTCTCCTACCTCAGCCTCCCAAGTAGCTGGGATTGCAGATGTGTGCCACCATGCCCAGCCAATTCTTTTGTATTTTTAGTAGAGACAGGGTTTTGCCGTGTTGGCCAGGTTGGTCTCAAACTCCTGACCTCAGGTGATCCACCCACCTCTGCCTCCCAAAGTGCTGGAATTATAGGCATAAGCCACCACACCTGTCATGCTGCATCTTCTTTACCACAGAAAGATAGAGAAAGAAGTCTTATTTTCCCTTTTTTTTTTTGAGACTCCAGCCCTGTCAGTCAGGCTGGAGTGCACTGGTGCAATCACGACTCACTGCAGCCTCAACCTTCTGGGCTCAAGTGATCCTCCTACTTCAGCCTCCCAAGTAGCTGGGACTACAGGTGTTGACCACCATGCTTGGGTAATTTTTTGTAGAGATGGGGTTTCGCTGTGTTGCCCAGGCTGGTCTTGAACTTCTGGGCTCAAGTGATCCACCCGCCTTGGCCTCCCAAAGCGCTAGGATTACCAGGATGAGCCACTGTGCCAGGCCGGGAGTCTTATTTCCCAATATCTTTTGGATCTCCCTATCTTGTACGGTTTAGGTCACTTAACAGATATTTACTGTACTGAGCACTTCCCTTGTGCTGCGCATAGGGATACAGTGGTAAGTTGGTCAGACAAGATGCATTCTCACAAGAGCAAGACAGATGTTAAATGGCCATATGTGAAATGCTATGTGCTAACTGTGTGATGTGATAGAATCACTAGGGAGGGGAGATGGAGGAGTCTACTTTAGGTAGGGTGGTCAAGGAGGGCCTGGCCTCCTTGATATTGGAGCTAAGCTCTAAAAGAGGAAAAAAGGTGGCCAGGCACGGTGGCTCACACCTGAATTCCAGCACTTTGAGAGGCCGAGGTGGGTGGATCACCTGATGTCAGGAGTTTAAGACCAGCCTGGTCAACATGGTGAAACCCTGTCTCTACTAAAAATATAAAAAATTAGCTGGGTGTGGTGGCAGGCGCCTGTAGCCCAGCTACTTGGAGGTTGAGGCAGGAGAATCACTTGACCTGGGAGGCGGAGGTTGCAGTGAGTTGAGATTGCAAAACTGCACTCCAGCCTGGGCAACAGAATGAGACTCTGTCTCAAAAAAAAAAAAAAAGAAAAAAAAACACATAGGCACAGTGACTCATGCCTATAATCCCAGCACTTTGGGAGGCTGAGTCGAGCAGATTACTTGAGGTCAGGAGTTCTAGACAATCTTGGCCAACATGATGAAACCCGTCTCTACTAAAATACAAAACAAAAAATTAGCTGGGCGTGGTGGTGTGCGCCTGTAGTCCTCACTACTTGGGAGGCTGAGGCAGAAGAATTGCTTAAACCCAGGAGGCGGAGGTTGCAGTGAGCCGAGGTGGCGCTGCTGCACTCCTGGGTGCAGAGAAAGACTCTGTCTCACACACACACACAAAACATGAAAAAAAAGTCAGCCATGCAAACAGCTGGAAGCAGGATCAGCAACATAATTTGTGGGGCCCAGTGCAAAAGGGCATCTTGTTAAAAAATTATTAAAAAGTTAAAGACAGTGGCCAGGTGTGGTGGCACCTATCTGTAGATCGTTACTTGGGAGGCTAACGCAGGAGGATTGCTTGAGCCCAGGAGTTTGAGGCTAATACAGTGAGTTATTATTGTACCACTGCATTTCTGCCTGGGCAACAGAGACCCTGTCTCTAAAAATAAGCTGTGTTTTGTTTGTTTGTTTTCTTTCTTTTTTTTTTTTGAGACAGAGTTTCGCTCTTGTTACCCAGGCTAGAGTGCAATGGCACGATCTTGGCTCACCGCAAGCTCTGCCTCCTGGGTTCAGGCAATTCTCCTGCCTCAGCCTCCTGTGTTTGTTTTCTTTTGTTTTGACATGGAGTCCAGCCTGGCCAACATGGTGAAACCCCATTTCTACTAAAAATTCAAAAATAAGCCGGGCGTGGTGGCACATGCTTGTAATCCCAGCTACTCGGGAGGCTGAGGCTGGAGAATTCGGGAGGGAGAGGTTACGGTGAGCCAAGGTTGCACCATAGCACTCCAGCCTGTGCGACAGAGTGAGACTCAATCTCAAAAAATAAAATAAAAAATAAAGATTTGTTTTTGTTTTGTTTTGTTTTGTTTTGAGATGGAGTTTTGTTCTTGTTGCCCGGGCTGGAGTGCAATGGCGAAATCTTGGCTCGGCGAAATCTTGGCTCACCGAAACCTCTGCCTTCCGGGTTCAAGGGATTCTCTTGCCTCAGCCTCCCGAGTAGCTGGGATTACAGGCCTACGCCACCACACCCAGCTGATTTTTTTGTATTTTTAGTAGAGACAGGGTTTCTCCATGTTGGTCAGGCTGGTCTTGAACTCATAACCTCAGGTGATCCACCTGCCTCAGCCACCCAAAGTGCTGGGATTACAGGTGTGAGCCACTGTGTGTGGCTTTTTTTTTTTTTTTTTAAACAAAAAATTTAAGACAAGGACAGCATGAAGCCAGGTTCAGGGCCTCTGTGGGACTGCACAGGTCACCTGCTCATGAAGCCAGCTCTGTTTGAAAGTTAGGTTTTCTGAGAAGAGGGAAGAGCAGGTGCCATTTGGGCTTCTGATCAAGGAGATGCATCAAGATCCATCTTCTATCCCAGTTTTCTCCTTCCCCTACTTTACTCATTTGGACAGTATTTATGGAACTCCTACTCAGTGCCAGGTATTATTCTAGGCATTGAAATTACAGAGTGAAACCCACAGGCAAAATTCCTGCTGTCACCGTGAGTTTACTTGGGGAAGGTTGGGGGACAGACAGTAGACAGGTAACTTTGTAAACAAATGGTTGCAAAAGGGTGAGGGGCTAAGTAAGAGTGACCAAGTTAGCTGAGTGTGGGAAGGTTGGCTTCACGCTGGGTAGAGAGGGAAGGGTTCCATCTCCAGGGACAGGCTGTCTGATCCATCCTTCTTCCTCCTCTCTCTCTTTAGACCTCTGGTACCCCAGGGAGCCCCCAAACACCCTCTGAGCCTCATGACTCTGGTGGTTCCCTGCCCCTGACACCCCAGATGGAGAGCCACTCAGAGGATGAAGATCTTGCTGGGGCTGTTGGAGGCCTGGGCTGGAACAGTAGGAGTCACTGGACCCAGAGCTCAGGGGGCTGCTCAGCGGAGGCAGTACTGGCCCGGAAGAAACACCGTCGGCGGCCGTCAAAGCGCAGACGGCACTGGCGGCCCTACCTGGAGCTGAGCTGGGCTGAGAAACAACAGCGGGATGAGAGGCAGAGCCAGAGGGCGTCCCGAGTCCGAGAGCAGATGTTCGCCAAAGGCCAGCCCGTGGCCCCCTACAACACCACCCAGTTCCTGATGAATGACCGAGACCCAGAAGAGCCCAACTTGGATGTGCCCCCTGGGGTCTCCCACCCAGGTTCCAGTGGGGAGAGTGAGGCCGGGGACAGTGATGGGCGGGGCCGAGTGCACGGTGAGTTCCAGCAGAGGGACTTCTCTGAGGCTTATGAGCGCTTCCGCACTGAGAGCCTGCATGGCCGCAGCAAGCAGGAGCTGGTGCGAGACTACCTGGAGCTGGAGAAGCGGCTGTCGCAGGCCGAGGAGGAGACCAGGAGGCTGCAGCAGCTGCAGGCATGCACGGGCCAGCAGTCCTGCCGCCAGGTGGAGGAGCTGGCCGCTGAGGTTGAGAGGCTCCGGACCGAGAACCAGAGGCTTCGGCAGGAGAACCAGATGTGGAACCGAGAGGGCTGCCGCTGTGACGAAGAGCAGGGTACCTAGGGGTGCCCCTGAGCCTGGTGGACACAAGGAGAAGGTCTTATTTCATACACACTCAGGTCAGCTGGGTCTCAAGGAGGCAGGTGGCAGATGAAAACCACCCTCAACACCCTGTGCCCCCTGAGAACAGCTAAATCGATTCAGACTCCCGCTTCACCATTTTCACAGTTGGTTCTTCTGTGTCAGCTTACTTTTTACAGAGAAATTAAATGGTCTTGGTGGGACCAAATGGCGAGTGTCTAGGATTGATTTCACTTGGGCTGTTCTGAGAAACAAAACATTTGCCCCACAGAGGTCTGAGTGGGGCCCCAGTCCCCGCTGCCCCAAGCCTGCTGTGCCAAGGTCTTCAGGTTATTTGAATCCTGCTCTGTGGGTGTTGGAGCCATCCAGCTGCATGAAACATTTTCTAGGTGGGAAGGAGCTGAGTCAGGAGCCCCCAATTTCGGCCAGATCGCTGTGAGGAGCTTCGAGCTTTCCCTGGAGGAGAGAGAATGGGGGCTTTTGGAGAAGGCCCAGGCCCAGGGGTTCCTTGAGAGTTTGCTTCTGAGCTCCCTGTATTTTCCTCCTCGAAGTTTAAATGCTGGCCTAGGCGGGATCTGGGTGCCTTGTGTCTCTTTGTTCTTATCACCCCCCAACCCCGACCCCTCTCTGCAGGGGGTTGGGCCTGAGGTTAGTCATCACCTTCATGTTTGTCCCCTTCTTCCCGAAGGTACTGAGGGAGATGCTCTCCTGGTAGAAAATACAGTCAAGAGGCAGAGGGGGCGGCGCATGGATCCCCTTAGAGCAGAGCAGCCCGGCTCTCCCGGTGCCTGCCATGCATCTTTTCGTCCTGCTCCTCTCTGCCTCACCACGTGGGTGTGAATTCCCTGTGAAGTGTGTGAGGCCCTAGCCTGTCTGTACATCGGAGAGAGCTGGGTCAGCCTGAGTAACGCAGATACCACCGGCCTCTGAAAACAAGCTCACCCACCCCTTCACACTCAGGCCCACCCTTCCCCAGACACCCTGTCTCTTCCATCCCCTCCTGGTACCCTTGCAGGCCGGTGTTGGGTGTCAGGCAGCAATGAACAGGGATAACTAGTGGTGGCAGAGGAAATTAGTCAACTCACCAGTGAGCTAGTGCTGGCTCTGCCACCAGGCAAGGGGAGGGACAGAGGCCTGGCTGCCCAGCCTAGCTTCCCTTCCAGGCCCTCATCTTGACAGGCCACATTGGGCAAGACAAGACTCGGCCCAGGGATGGAAATGTTGATGAAATCCTGTGTGTTGCCAGGACAACTTTCATTTCTACCCTGCCACACCCAGGCCTGGCCGGAGCCTTCTACAGTGAAACATAGAACAGATTCTAGGAACACACGGGTTTCAAGAGAAAGCAAAATCCCATTCTGGGGTACCTGCTCCCTAGAAGCCTGGGTCCTCAGACAGCTCAGTCAAGAAGGGCAGCAGGAATCATCATCCCCACTTTGCAGATGGGAAACCAGAGGCTTAGCGAGGAAATGGCTTTTTGGATTCCAGAAGAGCCTTTGGAGGCCTGCCTGCCCCTGTGAGGTGCAGTGGGGTGCTAGCCTGGGACCCAGAGGCCCATTGGCCTTTGCTGGCAGCCTCCCAGCTGCATTCCTAAGCATGGAGCCCGAGGGAGAGAGGAGGCCCAGGACAAAGGTGGACAAAGGTTGTTTACCCGGAGGTGCCTGTGTGTGTGTGTGTGTGTGTGTGTGTGTGTGTGTGTGTGTGTGTGTCTAGGAGGTGAGAGTAGATTCCAGAGGGCTGCTGGAGTGTGGGGGGAGGGGTGTGAGTGAGGGCGCTGGGGGCGTATTGCCAGTGGGGGCAGGTCAAGAGTTTGGCCCTTCTTGGCCCAGAAGCTGAGGAGTCTGGAGGCAGGAAAGCTGCCAGTTGCTTCCCCAACATCCCCCTTACACATTAAAGGCTGAAGGGTGCAAATAGAGCAGCACCTGGTGGGTTAACTTTCCCCCAGGCTGCAAGTCGGGTGGGGCAAGAAGAGAACAAAGGCTGTGAGCTGGGAGTGTGGGAGGGCCTGAACCCAAATGGGAGGGGTCCATGAAGAGGGTCCCTATCTGCACCTTCCCCCCACACGCCTGGCTCCCTGACTCCTGGGTAAGGGGTGTGCAGGGAGGAGCTGGGGGTCAGCACTGGAGAGAACCGGCTCAGCTGTGGGTGGGAGCCAGGCCTGGGTCCCTCGGTGCCCCACCCCTTTTGCTTACAGTTGTTCCCACACCTGCTGCTTGGTCTTGAAGCCTGGGCCTCCACTCCGCCCACTGCAATGGTGGAGGCTCCAGTTTACAAGACACCCCCACCCCCACATCACATGCCCTTAGCTAGGGAAGTTGGGCCTGGACACAGCCTCCCTGGGCCTTTCCAGAGCTGCCCTCATGCCCTGTGCTTTCTGGGACCCTCTTAGTCACCTGAGCCAGGGAGGGAAGTGCAGAGAACACATGTTTCACAGGAGTGGCTGTTGGAACCTCCCACCATTCCTGCCCAGCCTGGCTTGGGATCCCTCTTTCCTCCCCGGCAGGAACTCCCCGACCCTAGTTGGAAACTCCTGTGCCCCATGTACACACCCTGCCTGCAATGGGGTCAGGGAATGAGGGAGAGGGGTGGGCAGAGGTTGGTAGGGTGGGGCAGGAGGAACTCCCACAGAGAGGAAGGGGGTCCAAAGGGAAGTAACAGTATAGGGGGAAAGGTGGTCAGGTCCCATTGCCCTGTTGGGAACAGGCAAGTGTGGCACTGGCCCTTTAAGTGGGGGTGCCAGCCAGTGCCCTCCCCCAACCAACCCAATTCATGGGCACACTGAGCATGTGCAGGGGCTGTGCATGTGGGGAGGGGAGGGGAGAGGGGGGCATACATTCCGGAGGGAGTTTCATATCCCCCTACTTCCGGTAGCTGTCCCCACTCTCCTTCCTGGGTCTGACAAAGGAGCCCGTGGTGCTCACCCATTCCCTTCCCCCACCTCATGCCCCAGGGGGTGCTGCCTTCTGCAACTGCTGAAGCTACCATAGGTGCTGGGCAGGCTCCCTCTGCCCTGGGGAGTCTCCTGGCTGCCTGGAGGTGGCACACACAGAGCCCAGTGCCAGCCTCACTTCCCTGGTGTGGGCGGCGGCGGCGGCAAATCTTCCTGCTGCCTACGTGTTCCATTTCATTCCATTGGTGCCAGGGTTTTTAAAAGAACCATCCACCTGTGATGTCGCTCTGAAAGTGAAACAGCTCAGAGGATACGGCCCTGCCCCCCAACCGGGACCTTCCAGTCGGAGAGAAGGCGAACAGCCCAGCAGCTGCAAGGGCCTTCCCTGAGTCCCACTCCTTCTGCTTCTCCCCTGCAGGCCAAGGGATCGAAGTCAGCTTCCTCCAGACTACCTTCACCTGCAGCTGGGATCCTCCCTCAAACCCTTCCACCACCTCAACCTTACCTGTTTCTGCCAAGTGTTCCCCTCTCCCAGCCCTCAGCCCCTCCTGTTATCTCCCCTACCCCTCTAGCACTTGTCCACTCTTAGCTACTGGTACCATTATTTTTCATTTCATTCTTTTTTTTTTTTTTTTTTCTTTTTCAGATGGAGTCTCACTGTAGCCCAGGCTGAAGTGCAGTGGCTTCATCTTGGCTCACTGCAACCTCTGCTCCCTGGGGTTCAAGCGATTCTCCTGCCTCAGCCTCTCGAGTAGCTGGGATTATAGGTGCCCAACACCATGTCTGGCTAATATTTGTATTTTTAGTAGAGACAGGGTTTCACCATGTTGGCCAGGCTGATCCTGAAAACTCCTGACCTTAGGTGATCCGCCCGTCTCAGCCTCCCAAAGTGCTGGGATTACAGGGGTGAGTCACCGCACCCGGCCTATTTTTCATTCTTTTCTTTCTTTCTTGATTTTTTTTTTTTTTTTTGAGACAGAGTCTCATTCTTGTTGCCCAGGCTGGAGTGCAATGATGCAATCTCGACTCACCGCAGCCTCCACCTTCCAGGTTCAAGCGATTTTCCTGCCTCAGCCTCCCGAGTAGCTGGGATTACGGGCATGTGTCACTACGCCTGGCTAATTTTGTATTTTTAGTAGAGATGGGGTTTCTCCATGTTGGTCGTGCTGGTCTTGAACTCCCAACCTCAGGTTATCTGCCACCTTGGCCTACCAACATGCTGGGATTACAGGCGTGAGCCACCATACCCAGCCTCTATGGGTTTACTCATTCTGGATATTCTGTTGCTAGAGTCTTGAGGGGAAAACTCTCTGGTGTCCTGGTGCCTGTACCTGAAACACACAGACTCCCCAAGGGTGCTGTTGGAGAGAGAGCACTGGACTAGGAGTCCTGAGCACTGTGATCCATCCTAGTTCTGCTTCTCACTCAGGGGCTCCCTTTCCTCATTTGTTCAAGGGGATGGGAGGGGGCCTCAGGCCAGTCTAGGATCTTGCATCCTCCAGGACCCATCCCTGGCCAGGCGGCTTCTACCTGGAACTCGCTGCCTGGACTACCACCCCTTTGACCTCCTGGCTCCTCCCTGTGAGTCCAGGCAGTGAAGGTGGGGAAAATGTGATTAATACTGTGGAGTTTGGGGTCTGACACAGGAGATGAGAAACTCAAGCTCAGAAAGGTTGAGAAACTTGCCCAAGGCCACACAATTCCTGCCATACTAGAGCCCTAGCCAGTTCTCTGATTGTAGTTTGAGCCCTCGACCACCACGCTCTCCTATCTTCAAAGAGATAAATTAAAGACTTAGCCAAGTGCCAGCTGTGTGGGAGGTGCACTGAGATGGAAGCAGCCATACAGTTTACTACTTTCAGGACACTGTGTAATCCTGAGTAGCTCCATTACAAGGTGGTTCTTGGGAATTCTCTCTGTCTCCCTCCCTTCTCTTTTTTTAAGATGGAATCTCACTCTGTTGCCAGGCTGGAGTGCAGTGGTGCAATCTCCACTCACTGCAACCTCTACCTCCCGGGTTCAGGTGATTTTCCTGCCTCAGCCTCCCAAGTAGCTGGAATTACAGGCACGCACCACCACCCCCAGGTAATTTTTGTAGAGATGGAATTTTACCATGTTGGCCAGGATGGTCTCGATCTCCTGACCTTGTGATCCGCCCACCTCGGCCTCCACTAGTGCTGGGATTACAGGCGTGAGCCACCGCGCCCAGCCTATTTATTTATTTAAACTCCTATCTCTACCAGACAGTCCACTTTTCTGGAAGCCCTTCCCTATGACTGCCTTCCCACTGCTTTCCATCTTGCCAGGGTCCAGCTTCCCTTCCTTTGTAGAACTCTTATATTCTAGAAATCATTGCTTCTCAATGTGACTTCCCATTGGAATCACCTGGGAAAGTTTTCACAGTTCCACTGCCTGGGTTCCATACCCAGAATTTCTGATTTAATTGTTCTGGGATTTTTGAGGCTTCCTGGGGGATACTCAGGTACAGCCAGGGCTGAGAACCAGAGTTCAGAGACCTGCAGAGGTTTTCTCTGCCCAGCTTGCCCTGACCAGGAGTTCCAGGTGT